CATATATCAAATCATTATGTTTTATATATAAAACAAATACAATGTTATATGTCAAATTATATCTCAATTTAGAAAAAATAAGTTAGATCAGTTTCATTTTCAAATCCAGCCAGGGACCCTAAGAGAGTTGAGGAAAATTTTTTTTCCACCTACACTAGCTATTTTCAGTTAGCATAATGTTTTCAAGATACGGAAATTTTTTGTACTAGTTCTGTAACTTTCCTGTAAATCTAAACTTATTTCAAAATGAAAAAGTTTATTAAAAAAATAAAATAAGGGAGGTCAGCAATGACCTTATTTTACACCCTCCCCCCCAAAAAAGAAGAGTATTACATAACAATAAAGGGGTCAATTCTCCAAGAAGTCATAACAATCCTTAATGTGTATGTGCCTAAAAAGAGAGCACCAAATATGTGAAAGCTGCCTAACTCACCTCAAAGTGGGGTTGATTACTGTGAAATTTGCAACATTCTTACATTATTTTAAAATATGTGTGTGGGGAGGGAATGAACATTTTTCATTATTACATCATTAACTCTGAGGTACAAATTTTTATAGCTAACATCTCTAAGACGGAAGGATCTTTTACAGTTGATAGAATATTACATTTTAATTGGCAGTTTATTTTTATTTGTACATAAAAAATGGTGGGTATGCAAATTAAAATCACAATGAAATATCACCTCACACCTGCCAGAATGGCTACCCTCAATAAATCAAGCAATAAGTGCTGGTGAGGATGTAGAAGAAAGGAAACCCTTGTGCACTATTGGTTGGAATGCAGACTGGTGCAACCACTGTAGAAAACAGTATGGAGTTTCCTCAAAAAATTAAAAATGGAACCACCTTGTGACCCAGCAATCCCACTTCTAGGAATATATCCTAAGAATCCTGAAACACCAATTTCAAAGAATATATGAACCCCTATGTTTATAGCAGCGTTATTTATAATAGCTAAGATCTGGAACCAACCTAAATGCCCTTCAGTAGGTAAGTGGATTAAAAAGCTACGGTGCCCTGGCTGGTGTGGCTCAGTGGATTGAGTGCCGGCCTGCAAACCAAAGGGTGGCCAGTTCAATTCCCAGTCAGGACACATGCCTGGGTTGTAGGCCAAGTCCCTGGTGGAGCAGGGCAGGGTGGGTAGGTGTGAGAGGCAACCACACATTGATGTTTCTCTCCCTCTCTCTCCCTCCTTTCCCCTCTCTCTAACAATAAATAAATAAAATATTTTAAAAATTAAAAGCTGTGGTATATTTATACAATGGAATATTATACTATATGGCCATAAAAAAATAAAGAAATATTACCTTTGCAACAGCATGGATGGGCCTGGAGATTATTATGTTAAGTGAAATAAGCCAGTCAGAAAAGGACATATACCATATGATCTCACTTACATGTAGAATCTAATGTACAAAATAAACTGACAAACAAAATAGAAACAGAGGCATAGATACATGAAACAGACTGACAGCAGTCAGAGGGGAGGGGAGAAGGCAGACTGGATGAAAGAAGGTGAAGGGTTTTGTCAAAGAACGTATGTGCATAGCCCACAGACACAGATAATATAGTTTGGTGATGGCCAGAGGTAAGGGGTAACAGGGGCTGGGAGGAGGGGGCACAGTGGGAAAATGGGGATATCTGTAATAGTGTCAAGAATAAAAATAAAGTTAAAAAACTAGCACCACCTGTAAGGGACAAATGAACAGAAAAAGACACAGATCACTTATTAGCACTTATTTACAAGCCAAAAATGCAAATTTTAATTTTACCATGCAGAAACATCAAAGAACCCCCAGTTGAGGAAAACTCGATGAAATAACTACCTAAGGAACTGTTCCAGGTAAAAGATGACTAAAGAGAAATGACACCTGAAAGCAGTACATAATCCTGACCTGCATCGTATAGGCAAAAAAAAAAAGGTAGGCATAGAGATAGATAGATAAAGAGAGAGAGAGATTATAAAGGACACTATTGGTAAAACTGACAAATTTGTAAAATGGACTGTGGTGTCCAACCTTCGGGTATTTCTGGGCCACTGGGAGGAAAAGAGTTATCTTGGGCCACACATTAAATACACAAACACTACAGGCCATGGGTTGGACACCCCTGGAAATTATGGCATCAATAATAATTTTTCTAAATTTGATAACTGTACTAAAAGCATATAAGAGAATATTATTGTTAGGAAATACATACTGAAATATTAGGGGATAAAGAGGCCTAATACATAGAACTTACTCTCAAATGATTCAAGAAACATAGTTGGGTCTGATAATCCACCCTGACAGCCTTTGGGCATCCTGGAGGAAAGTAAAATCAGGCAGAGTGAAAGTAAGGCCTGGCAAGTCATTTCTGAATCATAGATATTACGCCATGAAAGCACCTAGAAGAGCACTTTGTAACAGATTAGATCCCCTTTTAGGATGATGATAATGGTGATATTTGTTACAATTCATCAAGCACCTGCTACATTACAGGCACTCTTTAAGATGCTGGGGAACGGGGCTGACACTGTCAAGTGGGAGAGACAGACTTTAAACATTTATAAACATAATACACAGTAAATAGCTAGTATTTACTAAGCACTTACTATGTTGTAAAAATATTCTGCATATCTTATCTCACTAGTGCCCGCACAGTAAACAGCATTCTTCCCATTGTAATGTAAGGAAAATGAGGCCTAGAGGTGAAATGACTTGGCTATGACAGCGCAATTAAAAAGCTGACCTTACAAGAAAAGAAAATCTGGCGCATCTAATCCAGGACCCTTACTAACTGCTTCTGTCCTGGGGCTGGGACCACATTCCCTTGGAAAGGGAGTTCACAGTAAGGATTCACAGGGCACAGAACAATGAGGAGCTCACAGGCCAGCAGCAGGCATGGGGTGGCACCAAGCAAAGAGGCACCACCGCGGTAGAGAGCCCCACTACTGGGTAGGCCAGGAACACAGAGCTCCTCCTGGAGTCCTAGCCAGCTTTAAGCTCGTCAGTCTGTCCCTTACACCATGGCATATCCGTCCTCCTTCTCCTAAATGTTTCCCTTATTATTCCCTGAATGTGGAATGTTCAAGGATCACAGACAGAATGCTCCAGAGCCAAAGTAACTGTTTCCTGCATGCTCCTTCCACTGTGACCACCTTCTGCCCAGACACCAGGAACAAAGCAGCTGTTCCCATCACCTGGGAGCCTCAGTATAGGTTCCAGCAGCATCCACGTTTGCCAGTGGGGACTGCAGGTTCCTGGCCAGCCCCCAGCAACACGCCAGCAGGGCCCACGCAGGTTCTCCCAGCCAGTACCCCACACAAGGTGGCGCCACCTCTGGGGAATTTCCCACCCTGCAGGCAGGAAGACCGGAAATCCAACAGTAAGAGCAGATGCTGGTCAGTAATGCGGGTAAAAACCCTGAATGCCACCCAAGAAGTTTAAGTTCCCTTATAAACTGTCACCTACAAGCAAGGAACTGACAGAAAGCATAAACCACACCCGGAATCTGAAGCCCTCAACTCCTAAATGAAAATCAATTCAGATATCTTAAACTTTAGCATAAAATTTCTTTTGTTTGGAAGTACATACAGAGAACACCTAGGCCTCACGCTCCCGAATTGATTCAGTGGCTAACGGATGGGCAAAAAAGTCTGCGTTTTCCACAAACTCCCCAAGGAACATCAATGCCACCAAGTTACAGACCACTAGTTTAAGTGTCCACCAAGAGAGGCCTGATTTAAATATAATTCTGAGCAAAGGAATACTATGCAGCCCCAAAAATGTAAGTGTATAGTATGCTATTTTGTAAGAAGAGACAATGTGGGTAGTCACGTGGTTAAGAGACAGGGCTAGAAGGAAATATTTCGTTGTCTTCTGTAACCATAAGAAAGTATTACATACTCTAAAATCAGAGTTGCATGTTCTATTAACAATCCTATACTAGATAATGAGTTGAGCCACACCTTCCCTTTTGCAGCCAAAAGTCATGCAGACCCACCTTTAAACTGACATTCAGATCAAAAGCCCCGATCCTTCATCATTTTAAGTGGAATTTGTTTTGTCAGACCAAGCTCTGCTACCTCCGGCTCCTGGACAAAATCCTTCTGTATGGTATGTTCATCTGTAAATTGGACTTAAAACAGGTACACTTCACAATTTTGTTCAGGTCAAACTCTTCAGTTTACGGTAGTATAATAATTACTGTAATACTGCAATGATATAGTATATAGTGTAGTCATAAATTAATCATACAGAAGCCACTATTAACGCACTCGGTTCTGACATTACTTTCATTCCCTTTCGACACAGCTGGAAGGTAATTTACAACTTACAATCTATTAGTAATTTACTATTTCGTAATTTACAATTTAGGCAAACTGAGGAATAATGATGTCATCCAAAAATTCACCCCACTATTGAACCAAAAGGAAAGTGCAGGTCACTATCGAAAGGGGGCCTCACAGGAAGAGGGTCGGACAGGTCAGTCTCCTGAGAAGGTATTCTACCGGTGGGACTTAATGGTTTCCGATTACAAGGTCCTCTGCATCTGACGTCAACTCAAGGAAGACCGAGAACTTGACAGTGGAAGTGGGGCCTAGAGTGTCAGGGTTGTTCGGCCCCAGGGGGCCTCCTTACAGTGACCTACCAATCACAGCCGCGGCCATTGGGTGACAAAGATACCGCGATTTCCACGGGGCGGAGCCTCTGAGGGGGCGGAGCTTAGCGTGAAGTGAGACTGGTTCCGGGAGCGTCACTTGCAACCTTGCCAGCGGTGCCCAGCGCGCCACAATCAGCGTGAGGAGCTAGATATTCGAAGATTAGACGCGGGTCTCCCACAAGCTGACTGCGGGCCTCCAGGCAGGCGACCCTCGAGCTCTGAGGACTCGCCCCGCGACCCGCGGTCCTGGGCCCCACCCGCCCCCGGCCCGCCTCACCTGTCATCCAGACCTGTCACTGAGTGACACTCGCCCTCCGCCCGGCCCAGAGCGCGCCGCCCGCAGCGCCATGGAGGTGATGGCCAGGCGGGTCCTCAGCCCCAGCCCCTATCCTGCACCCTGGTGGGGACCGCAGTCCGAAGGTCCTGGCTCTGCCAAGCGCCGCCGAATCGAGGAGCCCGCGGGCCCCGACTCCAGGACTGCGCCCAGCCTGCAAGATCCCGCAGGGGATCCGGCGGGGCCTCCGGCGGCGGACACGCTCACGTCCGTGGTGGTCCTGGCTCCGGGCTGTGCTGTGCAGCTGCCCCTGGACGACGTCGACCTGGTGCTGGAGCCCGAGCCAACGTCGGTCCTGCAAGTGTCTCTCGGGGGGCACACCCTATTGCTTGTACCGGAGGCCCTGTTGGGCCCTGGAGACGAACGCTCACGAGGGCAGACCCACTCGCCTCACTGCCAGGAACCGGGCGTTCTTTGGCGCTCTCCCGGGGAGGACGTCGCCGTCCATCAGGGATTCTTCCGCGCATGTGTCCCAGAGATGGCCTTCCTAGAAGAGGCCTACGACGAAGACATGGAACCCGAGTTCCTAACTCCTTGGGTGGACGCCGCGTCAGGCTCCGTCGCTGGGTTCCGCCTCTACCCGCACAGCCCCATTAAAGAGCCCTCGCCTCAGGCCTCCACCCCTAGTCCTTTGAGACGCTCGCCTGGTCCCTACGTCAACCTGAATTTCCACCTTCTGGAGCCCTTCCCCAGCTCACCGCTCCAACCTCTACCTCCCTCTCCGAGTCCAGGTCCGCACGTGCAACCCCAGCGCCCTCCGGGTCCCGCGCGCAAGGCCCGGAGACGCCTGTTCCAGGAGTGAACTGCTCCACCATCCCTCCCTACCAGGACCGTGAGAAGGTATTTTGATAGCAGCTGTGTGTCCTTTGCACAACCTACAAAAATCACCAAGGATGGACAATGCTCTTTTAATTTTTTTTTTAAATCATCACCCAAGGATAGATTTATTGATATTGAGAGAGAGATAAGCAACGATTGATTGCCTCTGGCTGGCACCTGACGGGATTAACGGCAACCTAGGTGTGTACGCTGATAGGAATCCAACCCTGCAACCTTTTGGTGTACTGAACGGCGTGCTCCTACCAACTGAGTCGCCCGGCCAGGGCCAGGGCCAGCTCTTTTTCTGCTGGCTGCTTTGCAGAATTTTCTGTCAATAGTGGACCAAAACATTTGGAAGGAAGGTCACAAAGCAGCAAAGAAATACTGCTTGAAATATGGGAGACTTGACTTTGCATGGTGAGCACACAATACAGATAATGTATTACAGAACTGTAACGTATATAATTTATTAACCAATGTCACCCCAATAAGTTTAAATTTTTAAAAAGCCATTTAAAAATACAATGTACTTTTTAGACATTCAGAGGGCTGCTTGGGTGGTTTTCTCTATATAGGTCACCCTTAAGCAGTTCCATTTCACCTAATTTTGCTTGAAACCTCAGGACCAGCAATTTTCTCTAAAAATCCTTTCTTTCTCCAGTAACCTACCACTGTGCCTCTTTTCTCCCAAATTAGAGTAATTACTGCGTTTCTTTTGTTTGATGGGTTTTGGTCTTCGTGTGCATGGCTAGTTTATGACGACTTCACCATTCTGAACTTTTCTTTATGATGACTCTAGCCCCTTTTGGGGGGATCTAGCAAATAGTTATATGTGGACAAATGTATGTTGGATGCAAAACAAACAGAATGGGGAACAATGATCATGCTCCCTCCTCTTTTTGATGACTAGGTTAGAAAATGGTTTAACTATATTGTTGGGTTTGGGGGCAGGGAGGTTTCCCCCAAAAGAACCAAATCTTTTCCATTCTTTTCTTCTTATATATTTTTCATATAATTTCCTGTCCTGGAAAAGTAATTCTAAGGATTTTGTGTTTTTATAGTTCTAAGATCCCAAATATATTTTGTACATTGTTGCCAACATATGGAAATAATTTATTCTCATGATAATCTTGTATCACCAAAAATATTTAATTTCTTTAATGGCTTATCTGTAGATTCTCTTGCTTGACTGATAAAGACAGTACTCTCTCCAAATCATGAGAAATTTTCTTTTTTGACAAGCCTCTTACATCTTATTTTTCCTTTGTTTTTTTTTTTGTTAGATATTATTTCAAGTCCAGGTTGAACAGCAATAGGGGCATCCCTGTCTTATAACTTGTGTTAAGGCATATACTTCTAAATTATCATCTTTTCTGTACATGGTTGGTAGATAACCCTTATTCTATTGAAAAAGTTAGTTTTTAGTCTTTCTGATCATAAAATTTTTGAATATTTGTTTTGTTTATTTTGGGCTGACTACAAAGACTTTCTCAGATTATTCTAAGTGTTGGCATTTGATTATTTATGTGTATATATAAAGTAGCTACATAGAATCTTTGGTTCTTTGGGTACATACAGAAACCTGGCAACGGAGCAAATGAGATCAAACTTGGGGCTTCAGGAATTTTAAAAATTGCATGCCCTTCTGAGGACTTGAGAAAAGAGTGTGGAAGGGAAAGGCAGTAACTGCAGGATCATTTAAATGTTAAATTTTGAAACAAATTTTTCTGTATGCATATGATGACTTTTTGTGGTTTCTTTTTAAAAGTGGTCATTTGCACTGATAGACCTTCTAAAGATAAAGTATCTTTGCATTTTGTTTATTCCACATTATTTTATACAATTCTAATTCTACCCTTGGTTCTTTTTTGTTTTGTTTGTTTGTTGCAATCATATACACACCACTTCTAAGATTAAAATGTCATTATTTTGCCATGTTTGCCTTATATTATATAATGAAATAAATTATTAATGATAAAGCTAATGTGAAGATGCTAGTTTTTTTGTTGCACATTAATAATTATTTAGACTTACCAACATGCTTTGCCAATGTCTTTGCTCACCTTCTGTTCTTGAATTCCATTCCTTCATTATGTCCTCTTTCTTTCTTTTTGCTTATCAAGGTATAGTCTTTCAAATTTTTTCAGCTGTGGCCTGCATATAAATCTTAGTTTTACATGTCTGTACATATTTCATTTAAACCTTATAACTTATGTAATATTCTAGCTGGGTTTAGAATTCTAAAACAATATCTATAGCCTCTCACTGCACTATTTCCCCTACTGTTTATTGTCACAGATGAGATGTCTTCTGTTATTTGTATTGCCATTGCTTTATAGGAGATTAGACTGTTTACTTTAGTATTTTTTCATGACTTTGGTGTTCTACAATTTCAACCTGGTGTGCTTTAATGGCAGAAATTTTACCTGCTACAACTTAGTGAGCTTTCTAAATCTGGAGAATTAACTCTTTTCTTAAAATCTCAAAAAAAGAATAAATTAATATCTGTTGGACCTTAGAACCCCTCTCCAATCTGTGGAACTTCCAATAAAGAAATGTCAGAGCTGCTTAATTAATATTCCTAGCAGTGTGTCTCTTAATATCTAAATTATGTTTTTGTACCTTTTATAATCATCCACTTTCTCACTTCCAATTCACTAATTCTGTTACTTTCTATTTTTAAAATTCTGTTCAAGTACTGCATTTTTTGTTTTCAAGACTTCTAATTACTTGGGGTTTTTTTTAATATCTACCTGCTCTTATTTCACACCTCTTGGTCAATGTCATATAAACTTCTTGTTTTTTGAATTTTATCATCTACTTTATCTCTAGAAGAATTTAAATATTCTTATTTTAATTTTTGTATCAATTAGCTCAATAATTCCATTACTTCAGGTATAAAATCTCCAATTATTTGGCAACATTTAATGAGATTGATTTTCTCCTAAGCAAAGAAATTTTGTTTTGTGGACATATTTTAAATGGGAATTCATTTTACACTCCACAGTAGAGTTTTTCCTTTGCTTCTTCCTGGTTTCCTAAGATCAGAATCACCCAAATGGAGTTCATACAATTTGCCACTCAAAAATCACAGTTCCCATCCTCAAGCAATCACACATGGCCCAATTTCCAATTTCAGTGCTGTGGTGATACTGGGGTGAAATGTCCATATCCCCACTCCATTAGGACTGCTAGGAGTATTAGCAGCTAATGCAGCTGAGTTGCTCTCCAGGAATTATCCTCAACCTCCATGAATAATAGTCCATGCCAATGACAGTTCAAACAAGTGGTGCACAGGCCCAGTTCACTTGTCTCAAGACAACACTGAAGGATCATCCCAATACTAGAGCTCTCGGTGGGTTGGCAGAGGCCTTTGTTGCAACTACATCCCAGTTCAACTTTTTCATCTGTCCAGTCATGTTTTCTTTATTCCTCTAAGATCCTGCATGCAAATCCCCATCTTAGGGTCTTCCCAAACCAATTTAAGACAGCTGGTGCCAGGACTCATCATAGGAAGCAGCCAATGAAATGGATTTCAGAGTTGAATCATGGAGCATGAGTAGTCCATGGGATGTTCCAGCAGATCAGGTAAGATTTTAATCAGTGGTGAACTTACTGGGATACTAGTAGAAAGGAACTGGCAAAATTGACATTGGCAATATCCCAGGCATTTGAGAAATTTGGCAACACTAATTACAAGAACTAATATTGATAAGTAGCATGGATTTCAATGGCTGCTGCTGAAGCAATTAATGCATTTGAGAAAAAGAATGAAAGGCTAAGCATGATTAATTACCAATAAAAACCTACTTATGAGATCAAGACAATCTCCTTGGTGACATACCTATAGCCTTTTGTCTCCTGGAGCTATGGGGGTGAAAAAACTGAGGATCTGGATGATGATTTACTGTAGATAGTGGAGAACCATAAAAGAATGAATTCTTAAACTACTCAAACTGTAATGGTGAAATCACAGCCTAACTGGGTCCTGAAACTGCATAGACAATCAGGTAAGATACACATGGATATCATAAATCTGCAGATCTTTCTCAATCCTCCTGCAAAGTGTCCCACTCCTCTCTGTAAAGAGTTGGCAGTTCTCCCTTGCTTTAAAATGATGCCAGGCAAGACAATATGCACCAACCTCAAGATTTAACCTCATCTCCTCTCTTAGCCACCAAGCCAGTAACTAAAGTTAAGCACAATATAATCCAGCCAGGGAAATGCTAGTCCTGTACATAAGGAAGGGAAATTATATATATCCTAAAGAGCTACAGAACTCAACCTATACCAGCAGAAGCCAAGTACAGGACTGAGTGGGCTGAGTGTCAGCTTGGGCAATGGTGAGTTTATCATTTTAGAAGCACTCTCTCATGACACAGGAATGAACACTCTGTCAAGGACCTGTAAGAGACAATGTTCACATTCAGATAGGTGACTCTTCGAAGCTTGGATAAAAGGATGTCCCACACAAAGTTAAATAGAAATGTCATAATTGTCAAGGCAGATGGTAGAATAAAGAATCAAAAGGTTCAGAGCAGTGGGTATGATACAGTGGATATACTACCTAATGCTGGATAATATATCAGCCACTATGAAGTGTGGAAGTGCCTGAAGGGACACTGGATAGCAATACAATAAGGAATGCACTGGGCCTTGGCTGGTGTGGCTCAGTGGACTGAGTGCCAGCCTGAGAAACAAGGAGTCACTAGATCAATTCCCAGTCAGAGCACGTGCCTGGGTTGTAGGCTAGGTCCCTAGTAGGGGGCACATGAGAGGCAAACACACATTGATGTTTCTCTCCCTCTCTTTCTCCCTCCCTTTCCCTCTAAAAATAAATAAAATCTTTTTTTTTAAAAGGAATGCACTGGAAAACATCAATATCAATGAGAAACTCAGTAAGGCAGCCTTAGCCAGTCGTGACAGGGGATGTCATTAGGGAGCTGGACTCCAGCGTAGCCATGGGGATAATGGGATCTAAAT